TATATAAATTAATTTTTATAAAATTTTTAAAATTTAAAATGACGTAAATCACGTCAGCGGTAATTAGGAATAAAACTTGAAAAGATGTGAATTCACATTAGCGGTCGCGAATGTGTTAAGTTAAAAAAATATAAACGTTCCTTTTAAAAAAAAATAAAAACTACAAGAAAAAAGAAAATTTGTAACGGGCGACGAAAGGTACAACACGATTATTGTAAATTATTCATTATCTATTGTAAGTTTATTTTTTTTTTTAATTATTATACGATTATCGTATTGATATATATATATTTTTTTTCCAACCAACGAACAACGAAGAGTATTTAATTTAAATAAACATATTTTTTATCATGCGTGCATTAAAAATGAGTTGCTTGAATGAATTGAATGAAAGATAAGCAGAAAGGCAGTGGTAGGCAAGAAAGAAAAAAAGAGAAAGTAGATAACAAGCCAGGTAGGGGGATATGTAAGCGAGGGTACAAAATAAAAGTATCAAAAGGGCCACTCGTATATCGGACAGGTGCACGGATCAAGAAGATTATTATCTAATGATCACTCAGCTCGCTCTGTAAAACTAAAGATTGATCAAGAATAATTTTAATAATGCTGCAACATTCGAGATTAACAATTCTTTTTACCAAATCAAAGAAGAAGAGAAGAAGAAGATGGAAAATGAGAGCGAAAAATTGTAATGTTAATAACAAAAAAAAAAAAAAAGAGAATAGAATACTTTTAGGTATATACAAAATGATTGAAGGAGGAGTAACATTCACCTTGAAATGAGTACGAGAAGATGTGTAAGAAAATAAGATACGTAAAAGTGCGAAGAAAGATCAAGGTTTAATCAGAAGAAGAAGAAGAAGAAGAAGAAGAAGGAAGGAATGAAGAAGAAGAAGAAGAAGAAGAAGGAAGGAATGAAGAAGAAGAAGAAGAAAAGGGAAAGGGAAAGAGAAGGAGTTCGAGAGAGAAAGACTCGAAGGTGAAGGGCTATGGGTTTCTATTGAGCATCAGCTGTTATTGTGGACCAACTCTATACACTGGATCCAGCATGGTGCTCTTTTCCACCACTTCTTGGCCACACACGTCGGTGTTCCTCTTCTTAGCAGAGACTTGGATGATATCGTATAGCTAACGTAAACTCTCTCTCTCTCTCTCTCTCTCTCTCTCCCTCTCTCTACCTGAACGCATCATCGAATTTACTCTGTGTATTTCCTCCGAAATACAGGTGTCTCGGTAGCAGTCTTACCCCCTACCACCAATGATTTTTGATTATACAGATAATTCTTCTACAAACACGATTTGTAAATTGCGAAAACCTTTGTACAATACTTTTTATACTTTTACATATTTACAAAATCAAATTATCTTAAAATAATGAATTGTGGGTTCTCATATAACATATGACATTTTCTAGGAAGCTATCAACAATCGTGTTATAGAAGAGTTATTCTCTGTATTCTTTCAACTATTGTACAACACAAGTTTTATAAACTTGACGATAAAGTATAATATCGTTACTAGAGAAACTCGGCTCGTTAACGAACGAAGCCCCTTTCTTTAGCGATTATAATTAAGAGTAAGACCGATATTTACGAGAGGGATATTTTGCACGAACCTCGCCCCCCGGCCAACTCGGCGCGCTATAATTATATCGAGAGTAAAGGATATTTACGAGACGTAAAAAGTTAACGTGGAAGTAATTAGCGAGACGATCACAAAAAGGGATTTCTAAGATTTGAGAGTATACTTTTATTTTTACCTTAAGAACTTAACTTACTAATTCACTATCATTATTTTCTAAGCTTTCTTTTTCTTTTTTAAATACAAACTCACTATGTTATCATCATTTTCTGCGATGACAATGCAGATCTAAGTCGAACAACATGATTCCCAAGTTAATATCTTTTCTAATAACTATCCATAGTATTTAGAAATTTTCAAGAAAATACCATGACTGAGTTAACTTCTTTTCAAATTTGTATCATGAAGTCACACGTTGATACGGAGAATCTCAAAATATTTCTAAATTCTAAATAGAAATGATAAGACGTATGGTATTGTAGAAAATCGATTATTTTTTAGTTCATTATTTTCGTTAATCTTTTCCGCTAACGTAGGACCTACGTAAACACGATAGGTATTGGCTTTGCTTGGTGCGTTCAGTAAAGGACTCTCTTTAACACATATACACACAAATATACACAAATATACACGTGGTAAAGGATGAAGGTAAGTTGAGCGTGCATGTATGTGCATGAGATAGGTGGTGGTAGGCAGAAGAAAAGGGAGCAAGAAAGAGAAGGATGCTGGTGTCGGCCACACACGTAGCCAAGAACGGCAGGAGGACCCCCGTGTGTGCGACGAAGATGAAGGTATTCGAGGTAAGAAGGGAGGGAGAGCCCGCAGGCTCCGTGTACGGACCACCCACCTTGACTCGGGCTAGACCTCTCTCAGCCTGTCTTTCTCGAGACTATCGTCGCTTTACCGAAACAGGAAGATGCTCGAGTTTAACTAGCGAAAAAGAGATAGAGAAAGATAGAGAATCCCTAAAAATCCTCTACTAATTATGCCGTTGCATTCGGATCGTCATGGAAACGCCACCACCAACCTTACGAATGTGTGTCGGATACTGGTTTATAACTAGGAAAATGAAAAGACATCGGTCAGGGGAGAAGTGGGAGAAAGGGGTAGCCAACTTTGATCCTTCTTCAGCTTTCAACTCCAACCAGGGTTCTTCCACCTAGCAGCTGCACGGACTCTCTTCTTTATGTGCTTTTATTTTGTCAGTCGTAAAGTTGTGCCCCCAAAATTATTTCGCTTCAGGTTGCTGGAGTTGAATGGAAAAGTCCTAGTAAGATTTATCAGGGTTTCGTTTGCCTGTTTCGATCGATGATGTGTTGACCTGGACAATTTTTTTCCTCAATATGTTAATATTTTGTTAAATTTAAGACAGGGAAAAAAAGATCATGTGTTGAATGATTTAAAATATATCATTAATTAAAATGAAACGTCATCGATCGATATTCGACTGTATGGAAATTTTTGTCTCTCATTACTTTTATCCGTATCTAAACTCCATATAATAATTAAATAAATTATATAGCGTTTAGAATTTATATGCATCTTTCTGATAATTGAATATAATTCATTGAATTGTTTGTTTTAACGATTGAATAAGTTATTTTTATAAATACGTTTCGTTACGTACCTTTTTGTCAATGATAATGTAAATTATGTAGATAATATTTTATTATTTGGTTATACATTAAGATGGTGTTATAACGTCGTGCATCGCGTACCTCCACGTCCATGCCCTAGCTACTTCTTCAAATTTTTCACGGTCGTTCATATACATTTCACCTAATTCCGGCTCCATACATACCTAAACAAATAATGCGTTTAGTGTTAGACTATTATAAATAGTTATAAAAAAAAAAGAAACAAAAGAATATTCAGGTAGTAAGATTTACCTGACAATATGGATCCGTGAGTAAACTTTGCACGCTTATAAGCACCTTTGATATGGTAAGAGCCAGAGACCAATTATGATGTATAGAATCTATTCCAACATCTCCATGTCTTGAGACATTTGGATGTAGTATTTTTGTGAGAAATCTTACAACTGGTGGACACATTGGATAACTAAAATTACAATTAATGTATAATTATTTTCCTTTTGAAGAAATAAAAAAGATTTCAAATAAAAATTTGTTTTTACATACCTATACGGTACTTGTAAATACAAATAAAACAATCCTCCCTCATAGGGACTACCCACTGGTCCAGTAATCGTAGCCTGCCAGTGACAACACATTTGATCCAACGGCGTAGCTTCTATACCTTCCGGAGGATCCATTCTTAAACTTTTCAATTCGCTGAGTAATCTATTTCGCCTCCAATAATATTCTTCCATTCTCGGTGCTCTAGTTCGTAATGAAGTTTGAGCTAAACATGTTCTACATGGTGCAGAAGAAGCAAGTTGATCGTACACTTTGTACCAATTGTTAACGCATCCAATAGGTCTATATAAAGGCCAACGCATTTTTACATTTTGTTGCCACTGTTGTGGTGTCAAATGTGTCGATAATAAACCACACCATCTGCGACAAACATTTGCAGCTGACCAAAGACTTACATCGTCGAGATGAGAAAATACAGCTAATAGAACTTCCGGTGGTAAACTTTCTACAAGACCGGGCTCATTGATAGGTTCATGTTCGATATGCTTAGGATTTGTCAACATTTCTAATCTTTCTGACAAATTATAAGGGCTAGATGGTTCTCCAACTTCTTCGTACTGTCTACAATTATTATCCTGACAATGTTGATATTGTTGTACGTGTTCCAAATTCTGTCCATAATCAACTCGAAATGCTTCCACATTAGGAAAATTATTAATATTGTTAACGGGTACATTATGATTATTAGACACATTGGAATTATTCACATTTTGTGGAGAATTTTGTTGTTGCTGGCTAGTTCTTCGTTCATGATTATAATAAAGATCTGTTGGTTCGTCGTTGCCTGAATCTTCATCATCTGTTTTCTATAATTAGTTTCCAATTATAAAATAATATTTTATTCTTAAATTATGGCATGTATATATTTTTACATAAAAAGTGTATGTATATTTAATGCTTTGTAATAATTACCTCGCTAAATATTGGAACTTGAAATAATCCAATATCGTTGGGAAATAAGAATGCGTGACATGTTGCACAAACAGGTTCTTCGAAACATGGGCCATAATATCCATTGCAGATATAACAAGCAGTAGTCTACAAGCCAAATTGTTTATCAGAAATGATTTTACAATTAGTATTTGGTACAATTAGTATAAAAAAGAAAATATTTTCCAGCCATAAGAATAAGTATAATAAACAAAAGATTTTTATATTAATTTACCGAAAATTGAAATTCTGGACAAGGAACAATTCTATCACCAGCCATTTTGATTTAAGTTGCAGTAAACAATAATTATAAAGATGAATATCTTGTAGAAACACTATAGAAATCCATTGCACTTCATTAAATCTATAACTTCATAAACAAACTACTCCTGTTTATTATTGGTTACGAGTTCTAAATCCTTGGATAGCTTTCAGTATGTAATCTTAAAACCAATATGGCTGCTAAAAGTGCATCATTGAGGGCGCTAAATTTTTGAGCGCGAAAATTTGATTTACTTACATAGAATTCATATCATATGCACGTACACCGATCGTTAAATATAAAAATATCAAAATAATGATAAATTATTTGATCGAACAATTTGAATTTGTTTAAAATCTTCTTTTTTTTCCTCTCAATGTAAAACATTTATTATATACATAGTTGAAAATAAATGAATGGAAGAAAACAGAAATAATAAATAGTCCGCGTAGGTTAGTACGTTCGTTTCTTATCATATAATATCGATAGATGGTGCTACAATTGATGATTGCAGCGCCTCTATTAGGAATATGGGTGTACTAATCAGTAAGTGATTGGCAACGAGTTAAGCGAGACAAGTGATTAAAAAATGGCATCCGCGACGACGTCGCACAATGAGGTTTCGCAGCAATTTTCTGTCAACAAACTTATTCGCGTTGGTTATTACGAATTGGAGAAAACAATCGGCAAGGGAAATTTTGCCGTTGTTAAAATGGCAACCCATGTAGTAACTAAATCAAAGGTAAAAACGTCAACTAATGTCTTCTTAGATGCACGGAATCTATCATTTTATCGTTATATGCTTGAATAACACACTGTACGCATGAATTCTCGTCGAATTAACGATAATTAATTCTACTATACTCGAGAATACGTTGTCGTCTCGTTCGACAATATTTCTAAGAGTACGAAAGTATTTTTTGGATTGTTACCATTAACTAGCCCTACTACATCGACAGAGAGAGAGAGAGAGAGAGAGAGAGAGAGAAAGAGAGGGAGAGAGAGAGAGAGAGAGAGAGAGATATGTTTTTCCTGTTAATTTTTCAAACTCATAACAATGATAATATGTAATATCGTTTGAACACTTTTACAAAAAAAAAAAAAAAAAAGAAAAGAAAAAAATACATAAATAACATTTTTAATTAAAATATTAATTAACGAGAGATAATAAATATCTCTGTACCAATAGTAAGATTGATAAAAATAATAGAACATTCTAGTTAAGTATATTAAGATCTTTGTAAAGCTTTTTTTAAAAGTTTTTTTTTCAACTTGGCAGGATTTATTGTATTACATCATCTATGCAGAATGTTATATCCATCAACGAAATGGTTTATGTATCTCTGATTAATTATTTCCATCTGTCTTGTAATCATTTGTTAATGAGTAGACTCATAATTTTTAATGACAACGTAGAAAAACGTCTCTTAATTAATATCTGTATGTATGCATGTTATTTTGACGTTTTGTATAGGTTTGCATTACGTTTTGTATATAGGACATAGGACATAGATAATCACTCTTAAGGATCATCAAGGTACAGTTAAAACACATGCTTCCAGATAAAGATGTATCGTGTATCCCCAAAATCTGTCTACTTGATTTAAGTAATAACTTTTTTATTTCATTGTCAGCTGTTGTTTAAATCTATATTTTTGATTTATTATTGTAAATATTACTAAAGTTAATTGATTTGTTATAGGTGGCTATAAAAATAATAGATAAAACAAAATTGAACGAGGAGAACTTGGCAAAAATATTTCGTGAAGTACACATAATGAAAAGATTGAGGCATCCCCACATTATCAGATTATATCAAGTTATGGAAACTGAAAAGATGATATATCTAGTAACGGAATATGCACCTGGGGGAGAAATATTTGATCATCTTGTAAGAAATGGAAGAATGCCAGAACCAGAAGCCAGGAGAATATTTCGTCAAATTGTTCTTGCTGTACATTATCTACATCAACAAAGAGTAGTTCATCGAGATCTTAAGGTAATTAATCTTAAAGAATTTTATTCGTTTAATCATTTAAACAAATCTCTACGTGTGTTTTTCACTAATCTATAATTTATATTTTCTTTTCAAGGCTGAGAATTTATTACTTGATGCAGACAATAATATAAAACTTGCTGATTTTGGATTTAGTAATGAATACACTCCAGGAGTACCTTTGAATACTTGGTGTGGATCACCCCCATATGCAGCTCCAGAAATTTTTGAAGGGAAACATTATGATGGGCCACGAGCTGACGTATGGGTATGTTTTTTATTCCAACAAAGCAATGATTTAACATTTTTATAATATGAAAATCTAATTAATACAAATGATTTATATAGAGTCTTGGTGTAGTACTTTATGTATTAGTTTGTGGTGCATTACCATTTGATGGTCCTACAATGCAGTTATTACGCTCTGTTGTGATCTCAGGAAAATTCAGAATACCCTTTTTTATGTCTGCAGGTATTATCTTCATTATTATTGTTAAATAGAATTTGTTTCATTTATAATTGTTGTTGTTTCATTTGAATAATGTTACTAAAATATATTTTCTTGTTACAGAATGTGAAAAATTAATTAGGCATATGTTGGTAGTAGAACCAGAAAGACGTTTGAGTATTTCACAAATTTTAATTCATTCTTGGATGGGTGGTGATGGTCAAACAGAACCAGAACCTGGGGGGTACATAGGGATTTTAATATTTCAAAATATTTCTATTTATACAATGTTCACATTTTATGTATATACATGTTCTGTTTTAGGTGCAGTCCTGAAACAACAACTATTCCACCACAATTAAATCAATTAGTTATAGAAAATATGCTTAGATTACCTGGGCTTAGTGCTGACACATTGTTAAAAGCAATTCAAGGAAATGCGTTTGATCATGTGTCAGCTATATATAATTTACTAGTCGACCGATTGGAACCCACGATGTCTGCTTTACCAACTATACAAAATATTCCAGGCGATTATATGCCCGATGGTGCACATCAATTAGAAAAGGTAATATATTTAGTAGATGGTAGAAATTCCAATATATCCAGATATTTTCTTGACTTATAAAGTATAACTAAGTGTTATGCGTATTAATATAAATATTTGAATGATATATTTGTTGTTAATAGTTTGGAGAAGCAGAAGCAGAAAGTGAGGAGAGAAGCAGTCTTCAATTATCACCTGACACACCTTATCACGCAACTAGAAGGCATACAGTAGGACCTGGTGATACGACGCATCAACCTGCTACGTCATATCCTTATGCCTATAATTATACTCCAGGATATCCTACATTGCGACCCCTTCCTATATTACAATTCAATAACGATCCACAAGTGTTGCCACATACAAATTTACCATTAAATCTTCCATTAGTCCAACACCAACCACCTCAGAATTTCCAAATCAAGGATCAACATTTATTAAAACCACCACCTGTCATGGGTGCTAGTGAGTTGATTTCTATTTTCTTTTAGATAAATTGGAAGCATACAATTATTGTAGTTTTCTTTATTATATTATCTAATTATATTTTTATTACTTTATATAGCAGGAAGTTTTGGACGAAGAGCCTCAGATGGAGGAGCCAATCTACACGTTTTTTATCAACAACATGGTAGTGGTTCTAGTGGAGGAGAGAATGGTGGATGGAGTCAACCTGGTAGTCGTGAACATTTGCAGCCTGTAAGACAATATTTCATTTATAATATATATATATATAAAATCATTTTTAATTATTTTATCTTGTGTGTATGTGTGAAATTTAATTCATATTTTTGTATAGTTACAACCTGGTAGTCCTTCACTGGTACAGTGCACACAATCGTCAACAGTTACTAGCGGTGTTAGTGGTAACACAGATGGTAATGGTAGCAGTAGTGCAAGTGGAAATAGTGCCAGTGATAGAAGACGACGAAGTGGACTTACCGCAGTTATGCAAAGACCTGGTAAACAAATTAAATATTAGTTGTATTTTTGTGTATTGCGCCGTGTTGCGCATTATAGCACGGTGTATAAAAATGCACAATAGCACATGCATACATGTATATTTTTATGGATACTTTCTAATGGATATACATAATATATACTGACAAATGCCTGACATATTGAACAATTGTTCATACATCGAGAGGCTTTCATTGTGACACACATAAATGATTTATATGCCAATTATAATTGTATATAATAATGTAAAAACGATTGGTCCAAGGTACATGTAATGTATATACGTGTATATTTGAAATATCTATGAGCTATTATTATATAGCTTTCTATATGTTATGTTATACGTTATATAGTGTGTCGACTTCTTCTTTTCTTTAAGTTTTGTTTTTCTTTTGATAATCTTTTCATTCAATATTTATGATGACAATTTGATTTGATTTTATTTTTAATTTTGCATGGTTTGTTTTTGTTGTGTCAACTGCACGGCCACATCTCGTTGGTTGGTAATATGCATGTAGTTATAAATCCGGAACTGGTAATGGAGGTGGAAGCTAGGATGAACAGAGCTTACCTGCCGTCACGATTATTACCAAGTCATCTTAGAGGCCCGACACTTCCACATCATAGGAAAACTTCGTTGTATCACGCTAGTGCTGGTAATTTTTGCACTTATGTTTTATTTTCTGGATTTTTATGATTTTTTTTTTCTGTATTTTTTCCCTTCCCTCTACCTTTCTTATAGTTGCAGTCACAACAATGGATATGTATAGTAAAATTATTTATAAATAGGCTGTATATTTTAACGATGTACACATAGGATTTGTTTATAAACAATGAGAAAAAGAAAAAACAAAATCACTTGCTTGTTTTTGTTTTCACATTGCATACATATGTGGTATTGTGTTGTATTTTTTAATTGTATGTTTTAAATGTAATTATAAAAAGGAAAGGATGTGATGAAGGAGAATATTTCTTATATATTTTTTGCTTGTATTGTTCGATAGGAAGTAGAGATTCCTATAAAGAACCAAGTAGTCATGTTGCAACGGAGAGATATTCACCGGTTCGTCGTGCATCGGAAGGATCAGGTCCACCAGGTCCTGGAATACAAGCACTTCAACAAGAATATCAACAGTTGCAGAGGCTAGCGTCTCCTTCGCATAGTCCTGCAAGTATACCAGGTTCTCCTGTGCACGAAAGAGGTGTAGCAGCCATAACGCAAGGTATATGTTTTTTTATTATATAACATAACTTTATATGTAATATCGATTATTGAAATTCATTTGAAATGATGTTAAACCTTTATTAAATGTTATATATTTCGTAGGTTTAAGCGGTTTGACAACTGCACCCGTACAAGGTAGTATAGTACACGGTACTCCTGCTCAATCACCAGCCACGCCATTAGATTTAAGTCCCTTAAGGCATCATAGATCACCGGCTACAACACCTGTCAGTTATTCGCCTAGCAATAGTCCTGCTTTGGATATGATTCAAGAAGAGCATCCTGTAGAAATACCAAGAGTAAGTAGTTTAGAAATAATTGAATAACATTACTAAAGTTGGGTATGCATTTTATAAAGCAGCGTTTAAAATTTATTATAGGTACCGCCACAAATTTCAGTGACAGACGTTCTTGGAGGGCAAGTGACGTTAATCAATTGTTCACCGTCTCCGTCTCCATCGCCAGATTCGCTGGAGGACGCATTACCGCATTATAGCACACTACCGAGTTTTATCATTTCAGAACCGTGTGATCCTTCGAGACCTAGTATAACGCGTGGTATTGGTAGGCCACTAAATACAGCAATACCTACCGAAGTGGAGGTCACTCTATCGGATGAATCAAGTAGATTAAATTCTGAAACTATATTGGGTCGTGTTAAAGAGATCATCGATGCGAGAGCTCCACCAAAAGGTTTTATCTTTTCGAGAGAAGAGGTAGAAGGTGGTGGATTAAGTTTGGAATATCCCGGTGGTGTACAAATTGAACTTAGAGTGTGCGAATCTGAGGAGAGAGAAGTTAAAGGAATTAAAATGCGGAGAATTAGCGGGGACCAATTGCAGTACAGTCAGCTTTGTGAGCAATTAATTTCTTGCATCACTGTTTGACGACGACAACCAGCTCATATGGTGTTGACGCTTTTTTTTATGTATTATAATACATTCCTGGTGCCAGATACACCACTCCATACAGTATTGCGCGTGCATGCTGCATATAAGCAGACGATATTCGACAATTATCGTCATTTATCGTTTATCTTATATTATAACATTTGTACGTCTAACGCTTATTATATTTTTGTCTTTTTTTTTCATCGTTTATTCTTTAACGTGAATTACGTCTGTGGTTACGTCTAATATCATTAATTTATACATAGTATGAAATTTTAGAATGATGCGTCGAAGGTCAAACTAACTTGTTTTAAAGGATCATATACTTATATCATACGTATATATAT